AAATGTTTTTAACAGAAGAAATTACACTGTAAACAACCTTAATCATGCTTTGTTTGCATAATGTTGTAATATGAGCACTCTTCTATGACCCATGTTTTTTAATAATTCTTCCCTTTATTTATTTATTTATTTTTGGCTATATCAAGTCTTAGTTGCAGCATGTGGGATCTTTCCCTGTGGTACATGGGTTCAGTAGTTGTGGCTCACGACCTCAGTAACCTTGAGGCATGTGGGACCTTAGTTCCCTGACCAGGGATTGAACCCTCCTCCCCTGTATTGGAAGGTGGATTTTTTTTTTTTTTTTTTTTGGAAGGTGGACTCTTAACCACTGGACCATCAGGGAAGTCTCCTTAATAATTCTTCATATTATAATTTTTAATGGCTACAGAATATATCTTGCTTTAATTTACTTAATCATTTTGCTGTTGGTTCTATAAGCTGTTTCTAATTTATCATTATTACAAATAGGGCTACAATGAAATCTGTGGCCTTAATTCTTGTCTGCATTTTGGATTGTTTCCTCAGGATCTGGGTCTGGATATGTCTGTTTAACCTTATTTTTGCCAAGATTTTTATTTAATGTAAACTATTCTAATTTTATAGGTGAAAATTGGTATTTTACTTTTCTTTAATAGAAATTATTTCTTAAAATTTTTCATGTGGCCAGCTAATACCATATAGTTGGTAGATTTTTCTTGGCCAAAGCACAGATATTTTCATTTTGTCACTTTTGTCTATACCTCCTTAGATTTCTCTTCTTTTTGAAAAGAATTCTGCCCACTCCATGCATTAGACAGAACAAACTTTTTGCAGACACATTTGAAATTCAGAGGGGTTATGTGGGGATCCCAAGTCCCCCAGCATGGTGGTAGGTCTGGAAATAATCTTTATTCTTCTTATGTATGTAGTAGCATTTTATAGTTCCTAAGGTACACTGAAATCTGTATTTCACTTGAGTTGACCCCTCACAGTAACCTATAAGTAGACAGTACAAATGTGCCTATTTCAAAAACAAAGAGAGCTAAAAAACTGTTGATTGTACAGATTTCGCCTTTTTTTTTTTTTTTTTTTTTTAATTTTGGCCACACCATACAGCGTGCAGAATCTCAGTTCCCCAACCAGGGATTGAACCCTGCCCACAGCAGTAAAAGGGCTGAATCCTAACCACTAGACCACCAGGGGGGCTTCCCTGATAGCTCGGTTGGTAAAGAATCTGCTCGCAATGCAGGAGACCCCCGTTCAATTCCTGGGTTGGGAAGATCTGCTAGAGAAGGGATCAACTACACACTCCAGTATTCTTGGGCTTCCCTTGTGGCTCAGTTGGTAAAGAATCCATCTGCAATGTAGGAGACCTGGGTTCGATCTCTGGTTCGGAAGATCCCCTGGAGAAGGGAAAGGCTACCCACTCCAGTATTTTGGCCTGGAGATTTCCATGGATTGTATAGTCCATGGGATCACAAAGAGTCAGACACAACTGAGCATCACTTTCAGACAACCAGGGAGCTCCCATGTTTCACATTCTTGATTAGAGAATTAAATCATGCTGTCAAGACAAGACTCAGGGGCTTTCCTGGTGGTCCAGTGGTTAAGAATCCACCTGCCAGTGCAGGGGACATAGGTTTGATCCCTGGTCGGGGAAGATCCCACACGGCCCAAGGCAGCTAAGTCCCTATGTCAAAACCTGAGCCTGAGTGCTGCAGCTACTGAAGCCCGCATGCCTAGAGCCCATCCTCTGCACCAACAGAAGCCACTGCGGCGAGACGCCTGCACACCGCAGCTAAAGAGTAGCCCCCGCTTGCCACAACTAAAAAAAGCCCGTGAGCAGCAGTGAAGACCCACCCAGCACAGCCAGAAATAAATAAATATATTTTTAAAAAGGACAAGACTCAGATTATCAGGGAAATCTGAACCAGAGCCCTTCCTATTGCCCAGACATAAGTGAATATTATTTCTCATATGATGGTATAGAAAATAAAGCTGTGGTTTGCAAAACGATGACTGAGAGATGAACTTACCCAAGATACACAACTAGTAAGTGTAAATCCTTGTTTTGAACACTCAGCCCAGATCTCTCTGCCTTTTTTTTTTTTTTTTAATTTTTATTTATTTGTCTTTGGCTCTGTTGCTGCACAGGCTTTTCTCTAGGTTTGGAGAGCAAGGGCTGCTCGTTGTGGTGGCTTTTCTTGTTGTGGAACAGGGGCTCTAGAGCACAGGCTCAGTAGTTGTGGGACACAGGCTTAGTTGCTCCATGGCATGTGGGATCTTCCCAGATGAGGGATCGAACTCGTGTCTCCTGCGTTGGCAAGCAGATTCTTTACCCCTGAGCCACCAGGAAAGTCTTTCTGCTTTTTTTGACTACACTCCCAGAAGAATGTTCCCACCAAGAAATTTTGTCTTCTAACCTCTTCCCGAGATGCAACTCTTACCACTTGGAGATTCTAAATTCTGCCTCTTGGTGCTTCGTAGGTTAGGTAAACAGCATTCCTAGAACCACCAGACACCAGTCTTGCAAATACCCTCTTTCATTGGACAGAAAAGTTTAACTTAAGATTATCTTAAGTACTCCCAGTCCCCATTCTTCCTTCATTCCATCTCCTTTCTGAGTATCTGTCTGCTTGGAAAAGTAGCTCTTATCAAATATTAGAGAGCTGATCATTTTGCTGTTTTTCATATCCTAAGTGGATTTTTTGCAGTGTTTCACTGTCCATTTGACTTTAAGGTTTTAAAATTTTTATCTATAATAAATTCAAACAATAGCCAAAGTATATAAAGTAAAAAGAGATAGTCTTTCCTTCTTATCCAACCTAACAGAAATAATCACTGTTAATAGTATGGTGTATGCCTTTTTAGATTTTGTTTGCATGTATCTATGTTTATATGTATTCACAGGTGTGAGTGTTTCTGTGTGTGTGTATGTGTTTTCCACACTCTTTTTCTGAAATTTCCTTTTTTTCATTTAATGTTACGTCTTAGACATCTTTCCAAATCAGTGCACTTAGGTTTATCTTTATTAACAACAGTGGCATAGTATTTAATCAAATTGAAAGGTCCTAGGGTATATGCATTTTATTTATTTTTTAAAAAATATTTATTAGGTTGGGGCAAAAGTAAAAAAAAATTGCAGTTTTGCATCGTTGAACTTTGTTGTTTGATATTGGAATATATTCTCTCTTTTTTTTTTTTTTTTGGAATATATTCTTAAATAAATGTGGTTATGTTATACATCATTTTAATGCACATTTCTAGCTTTATGGTTTTTTGCTAATGACATTCCTTACTGTTTATATTTATTTTAGACTATAGAAATGATGTTAGACAAAAAGCAAATTCAAGCAATGTTTTAATTTGAGTTCAAAATGGGTTGTAAAGCAGCGGAGACAACTGGCAACATCCACAATGCATTTGGCCCAGGAACTGCTAACAAATGTACAGTGCACTAGTGGTGCAAAAAGTTTCACAAAGGAGACGAGAGCCTTGACGCTGAGGTGCTTAGTGGCCGGCCACTGGAAGTTGACAATGACCAATTAAGAACAGTCATCAAAGCTGATCCTCTTAACTACATGAAAACCACTGCAATATTGTAAAGTAATTAGCCTCCAACTAATGAAAATAAATGAAAAAAAAAAAAAAACTACATGAGAAGTTGCTAAAGAACCCAACATCAACCATTCTATGGTAATTCAACATTTGAAGCAAGTTGGAAAGGAGAAAAAGCTTGATAAGTGGGTGCCTCATGTACTGACTGAAAACCAAAAAAATTATTGTTTTGAAGTGTCATCTTCTCTTACTTCTGCCCAACCACAAGAAGACATTTCTCGATTGGATTGTGACATGCAACGAAAAATGATTTTATATGACAGCCGGTGACAACCAGCTCAGTGGTTGGACCAGGAAGAAGCGTCAGAGCACTTCCCAAAGGCAGACCTGCACCACAGAAAGGTCATGGCCACTGTTTGGTGGTGTCTGACCCACTACAGCGTTCTGAATCCCAGTGAAACCATTACATCTGAGAAGTATGCGCAGCAAGTCGATGGGATGCACTGATGACTGTAACTCCTGCAAGCGGCATTGGTCAATAGAAAGAGCCCGTTTCTTCTCCACAACCATGCCCGACCACATATCATACAACCAACGCTTCAAAAGTTGAACAACTTGGGCTACAAAGTTTTGCCTCATCCGCCATATTCACCTCACCTCTCACCAACCAATTACCACTTGTTCAAGCATTTCAACAACTTTTTGCAGGGAAAATGCTTCCACAACGAGCGGGAGGCAGAAAATGTTTTCCAAGAAATTTGTCGAATCCTGAAGCACGGATTTTTATGCTACAGGAATAAACAAACTTATTTCTCATTGGCAAAAATATGTTGATTGTCATGGTTCCTATTTTGATTAATAAAAATGTGTTTGATACTAGTTATAATGATTTAAAATTCACGGTCCGAAACTGCAATTACTTTTGTTCCAACCTAACATTTGACTATGCTGGGTCTTATGTGTGGCATGTGGGGTCTTTGGTCTTTGCTGTGGCATGCGGGATCTTTAGTTTCGGCATGTAGCATCTAGTTCCCTGACCAGGGATTAAACCCAGGCCCCTGCATTGAGAGCACGGAGTCTTAGTCACTGGACCACCCAGGAAGTCCCTGGTGTATGCATTTTTTTAAAAAAAAGATGTTTTACATGAAGGACAACACATGCTCTGATGGGTGCATCTATTTTAGGCCTGCAACTAAATGACTATGGGCGAAATTTTCATCTTCTCTCAGCTTCAGTTTCCTTATCTATAAAGTAAGGGTAGAAATACCTTATGTAGTTGTGAAGATTAAAGTCATTCATTAATTTATCAAGCATTTATTGAGGGCCTTCTGCATGCCAGGTAGAAGGAATGTATTTGATGGTGTTTTACAAACTGGGAAACTTTATGTAAGGAAGTTCATCATGAGAGTAATTCAAGAGGAGATAGATATGTGCTTATCTTGTCTCTTCCCCACTCACCTTAGCGATGTCTCTGAGTCTCTGCTCGATAAGTGCCTCTATACCAACCACTCTCCTCACCCTGACATCTTGATACGGACTTCTGGGGAAGTGAGGCTCAGCGACTTCCTCCTCTGGCAGGTAGGTCATTTCTAGCCACTATCCTGTTTGTGTCAGAACTGAAAACTGTGGGTGCATCCACAGGACAGATTGGAGGGGGAGCTAAAATCCAGAGTGCTGTCTCCAGGCTGTGCCTGGTAACATTTGTTATCCCTTCCTCATCCACCCCTAACTTTGTGAGTCTGTGTGGTTCTTGCTGCCTGGAATGCCCAGAGGAAAAATCAAGGCTATCCTGCTGTAGTGGAAGCTTTACTTGTGCCTGTGTTCAAGAACTGGACTTCTGCCTTATGTCCTGAGCACAAGCTCCTGCCTTGGTAACCTACCATGTAACCTGCACCTCTAGGCTAGAACCTTGCCTTGAATTCACTGATTTCTCTTTCAGAATAAAGGGCTGCATTTACACAAGCACAGTCCACAAGGGATATAAACTATGTGCAGACTCTTTCTTTGGGGCCTGCCATTGCCTCTCAGCTCAGTTATCCCAGTGTAGGTTGTTATCTGAAAGCTCATACTCAAATAAGTTTGTCTTTGCTTGAGAATCTCCAATCATCTGTACCCTTGGCCCCTGGTAGCACTTGGCTGGAGGAAATCTTGTTCAAGGAGACGCTGGAGGGAGAGATATGAGTTAGAAACAATTCACATGGTAAATTCCAGAAATTTTAATGGCCCGTAGTCTCAAAAGCAAACTAACAAGATTCAGCTACTGAAGATACTTTTAGTCTTTGGCTATACTAAAGAAGTGTAACATGCAGCTTATGGTTTTATGGCCCACTCTGTTGGTCAGATGATGTTGGAAGAATTTACTTCTGGGCATTGGGTTTTAAGAGATTGCACTGGTAAACTAGAGGACTTAGCAGAAGAGGCCAACCAGAAGATGGCCAGGAATCTGAGACTCATGTCCTCTAAGGCATAAGTGAAGGATGATGGTCTGGAAAATAGTTTATTATCTTGAAGGAAAAAAAAAAAATTGAGTTCCTCCTTGGTGCTGGGAATATGGCAGTGACCAAGTTAGAAATAATCCTTACTGTCTTAAAACTTACAGTTTGTTAGCAAGGACAAACTGAACAAGTCATTACAACCTTGGGAGCAGATAACAGGCAGCTCTAATCTAGCCTTCCAGTATGTGAAAAATGTCACTTTGGAAAAGAAATAAAGTTGTTCCAGAGAGAAGACCTAAGACCTTGGTAGGAGTTCCAGGGAAGGTGACACTGGTTTAGCTTAATGAGCTCTTTTGACAGCTAACGTATCCCCCTTTAGGCATTGAATTCCTCGCCACTAAAGGTATCAACAGCGACTATCAAGAATGTTCCAAAATCAGTGATGATTGTTAAAAGTTTACTCAGCTCTGTGCTTTGTTATATGTATGTTATCTTGTTAAATTTTCACAGTACCTTATAAAACAAGATACTCTTATATACCCAGAGAAGTTAAGTAACTTGCCTCAGGTCAAATAGATGGTAAATGGTGGAGCCAGAATTCAAAGCCAGGCAGTCTGGCCCCAGAGCCCATGCTCTTAACCATTGTGCCATATTCTGCTACTTAAAAATAACAATGGCAGCTACCATTTATTCATTGCTAACTTTTATCAGACACTGTGTCTGTCAGATGACCTCTGAGGGCCAAGAGCCAATAACATAATCCAGATGTTATTTCATAGTCCTAAAATTGGCTCTTAGAAAACTCCTGGTGGAAATGTTGATCTGGTCTCGCTTTAGTTCTGCCTTGCTACAGGCAGGTGATCTACTGCCTCAGATGACCCTTCCCCCATCAGTGAGTGAGTCTGGGCTGGCAACAGCAGCTGTAGCTCGGGCTGCCTGGGCACCTCATCTCTGGACGTGATCAGCCTGCTCCTTCTTTGGAAGCTGACCAGGAATATGTTCCAGTGACACGTCACTCAACCAAATTCTCTTCCTTCCCCACCTTTCCCAGACCTCCCACTCCTGCCTGGTGTTCCAGCCTGTTCTGTGGCCAGAATACACGTTTTGGAACCTCTGTGAGGCCATCCTCCAGTTCCAGATGAACCATAGCATGCTTCAGGTAAGAGTTCAGGGCTGGCCTGACTGGATGGGATGGAAGAAAATGTTAGCATTGATTGACCCGCATGACTGTATGTCAGGCACTTGCTAATGACATGTTAATGATAATGATGAGTAGCTACCACTTACCGAGTGTTTACTATGTGTCAGGCACTGTGAACAGTGTATATGCACTGTCTCATTTAATCTTCCCAAGAACCCAACGAGCTAGGTAATACTAGCCCCACTTGTGCAAATAAGTAAATCAAAATTACTTAGTTAAGGACCAGAACCAATAAAAGACCGAACCGAGATTCAAGTTACAAGTCTTTAATCTCTTCATTGTGGAAATTTAGGAAAGGCTTCTCAGAGAGATTGGCCATTATTCCCTGAAGGAATTAGCCTAACAAAAGATTGTAGAAGTGGAAGTATGTAAAATCCAAGACTCTATCAGAGGGATTAAAAACAAAGTAGCACTATCTTTCCATTGTATAAAGCTGTGTTCTGCCAGGACTTGAAGTTCTGATTTCAATTTTGATCACTAGGTCCTGAAACAGGTTTCATTAGGAGGGAGATTCACCTATATCTCATTAGGACTCTTCATCATAATGACAATGTGTGTGGTGGTGGCAGCTAACTTATTGAGGGTCTGCTAAGGCACTCTGGTGTTTTCATATGTTTTCTTACTTAACCCTTCCAACAATCCAGCAGCTTTGGTGTCCTCATTGTTCAGATATGGAAACAGAGGGATAAACAGTAACTGTTTCAAAGTCACAGAATTTTAAGCCCAAAGCTGGTGATGCTTCTTGAATCTGGAGAGTTAATGGCCAGTAGTAAATAAGTCAAGGCTTCTCAGTCCCTCTGGCATCGGGGACTCCTTGGAGAAACTGATGAAAGCCGTAGACCATCTCCCTAGAAAAACTGCAAAGGTCACTGTAACACACGGCATTTTGCAACTACTTCTGGAGGTTCACAACTCGTGAAATCTTTCCATGAATCCCAAGTCCAGAACTCCTGGAATAAGTCAGTCAGATTGTGTGTTTGATCATTTAGTCTCAAAATATGAGGAAACTGAGAGAGGAAGTTGAGTTCAATTGAAAGGAAAAACAGCAGTCTCAATTATCCACTGTCAGTGAGAAATGAATATCAGTTTTTCCATATGACCAAATCTCCCTTTAAGAACTAACCTTCTTTATCCTTTTTTGATAGAGAACTTTCTGAAACATGTCTTGTGTGTAATTCATTGATACCTACTGTGTATTAGGCACTTGCTAATAATGATGATGATCAGAATAATCACATTCTGCTGATGCTGATAATGGTAGTAGTCACTCCCATCTTCAAGCACTTCATTGTGCAGGATGACCTTGAAAGATGGGACTTTCTCTAAGCTAGATGGTCCACAAATACTTGACTTTGGGATTTCTTGTGTATGGTCAGTGGCTAATTTTGACAGCATTCCTTCTTCCCTTCTCTTCCTGTTTCCAGTTTTAAATGAGCTACAGGTAAGAAAACCAGTCAACCAAGCTTTTTAGAATTATGTCTGTAAAGAAAGAGTAGACTGGCCTTTCATGAAGCCCAGAGGATCTTGGTGCATGAACTTTTGTGTGTGACTATTCTTGTCTCTGGGCTTCCCTGGTGGCTCAGCCAGTGAAGAGTCTACCTGCAACATGGGAGGCCTGGGTTCGATCCCTCGGTTGGGAAGATCCCTGGAGAAGGGAATGGCTACCCATTCCAGTATTCTGGCCTGGAGAATTCCATGGACAGAGGAGCCTGGCAGGCTACAGTCCACGGGGTCACAGAGTCAGATGCAACTGAGTGACTTTCACTTTCACATTCTTGTTTCTAATTAGGAAGTTCACAAGTCCCTTTTAGTAATTCAGATTTCTCAGATACTTTCCCACATGGCTATCAGAGGAATTACCTCAAGTTTCACTCATTCCATTCAGTTCAGTTCAGTTGCTTAGTCGTGTCTGACTCTTTGCAACCCCATGGACTGCAGCACACCAGGCCTCCCAGTCCATCACCAACTCCTGGAGTTTACTCAAACTCATGTCCATTGAGTCAGTGATGCCATCCAACCATCTCATCCTCTGTCATCCCTTTCTTCTCCCACCTTCAATGTTTTCCACCATCAGGATCTTTTCAAATGAGTCAGCTCTTTGCATCAGGTGGTCAAAGTAAATGTCTCATTCCGTAAATGTCTATTATTGAGTACTTGGTCTGAGTCAGGCACTATGTTAGTGTTCCACACAAGAGATTTAAGCAGTTAGTTGGCCAGACAAGATCCTTACCTTCATGGAGATTATATTTTTACTTGAGGAGACAGATAATAAGTAAACAAATATATGCAATAAGGCAGTGAAGAAATAGAGTGTTGTCCTAGAAAGTAATGAGTGGAACAGTCAGGGAAGGTCTTGATAAGCCATGATATTAAAGATAAGTAGCCAGACATGTAAAAATCTAAGGGAAAAGAATTATTCTCTGTAGAGGGAGCAGAAAGTGGAAGGATACTAAAGTTTCATAGTTTAAGTCTTAGAAGAACAAAGAGGCCAGCATTCATGAAGAAGGATGTGAGATGAAGCTGGGTAGGAGTCAGGCCTCTGATCATTCCCGGCCTTGTAGGCTGTGGTGACACATCTGAAGACTTCTGATCAGAGGGAATGGCAGGATCTAATTTACATTTTATATAAGTCACTCAGGATTTTCACAGGGCAGGAGTCAGAGACCAAATTCCTACAGCTGTCCCAGTGGGAAGATGTGGCCTCGAGGTGGGGTGGTGGCTGCAGAGAAGGGGAGGGCCGAGTGCACTGAGGTGGAGGAAAAACAAACAGTAAAACAGAAACAAATGAAACTAAGCTGATAATACAGCCTTCAGAGAAAGGGATTAATTCAAGTTACCTGAACATAGTTCTCTGACTATACATCTTCAGTGGTATATATTATAAAAATACTACAAACTGGAAAGCAAACTTAAACATTATTTAAGAGATTTATCAGTGGTAATGTTAATGATGTAATTCTGAAACTCTTTCATGCCTCTTGTAGGAGAAAACCAATGAGTATGAATATTAATGTTACTAGGAACCAAAACATTTAGGTTTTGGCATGGGCAGTTGGGTGGATGGTTCTGCTGTTTTCTAGAATGGGGTGGAACATGTTTAAGGACAACCATTAAGAGTTTCATTTGGTACCTAAGAATCATAATTCCAGACATTTATTGAGTTCTTACCATGTGTCAGGCATCCTTTTACTTAGATTCTACGTAGTTCTATAAGGTATATATTACTCTTAATTGCCTCCAATTTTAGAGTGAGGAGACCAAAGTAATAACAGATATTGACTGTCCTGAACTCTTTCTCAGCAGACCCCATGAGGGTTTTGGCCACATTTCCCCTGCCCCCGAGCATTCATACTGTTTCTAGAAATCTTGGCACCTCAGCAGAAGCACTAGCAGTGTAGTCCAGACTGACGACATCCTGGCCAGCACGCTGTCAGGCTGGAGAGCGGGTCTTTCTAATATCTCCCCTGTATGTGTCCTGTATCCTCACCAAATTGGACCATTCAGTTCCTTGTTCTCATCCCCTTTGGCTTTCTGCCTCCATGTCTGTGTTCTTGCCCCATCTCCCAAATTCTTATTGTTCAGTTTGAGCTTCTCTGTCTCTAAGCCCAGCCCAGTATGTCCCGATACCCCGCAGGAAACCGGGGCAGGGAGCTGGGTTCTTGACCTAGCTCACTGGGATGAGGGCAGGTGCTGGATGCTAATGGAAGCAGGGACTCAGCTATAAATTGTTAGAGGCTAGACCTTAGTATCTGAAGGAACCATGACAGTTTCCAGGTGGTCACCCTTCATCTCAGAGAATGGGGGCTGGCAAAGGAAAGCAATCTTGACGATGACACAGTAGGACAGAAAATCAGGGTGGGGCAGGGGTGGGCAGCAGTACAGAGCCATTGATCCTCAGTTACAAGCTGCATGGATGGTAGGTCCCCGGGGGTCTTTCCTCAGAAATGAGGAGTGACAGTGGTCCACCTGACCTGTAATGATGTAGAGGGAGAAGAGACATGGTCCCACTAAACTTCGTTTGATGTATCTGTCAGAGGTTAAACACTAGGCTAGATCAACCATTTTATCTCTAGTACTCTAAAGGTAGTCACTGTCTTCTCCTCAGGAGAAGTTAGAAAACTTCAGCTGTTATCTCAGACATTACTGACTTTGAATCATGGTGCTTCCTACTAGCTATGTGACTGACTAGATAATTACTTAACCCTTCAGAGGATCACTTTTCTTATCTGTAAAATGACAGAAGTAATGATAATACCTGCCTCACAAGTTTGTGATCAGCCTTCAGTGAACTAATACACCAAGAGAACTGAGTGCAGTGCTGGAACACAGTTCATTTTCAGAGACTGGTGGTCAGCATCGTTCATCATGTGTGTCTCTGGGCTCTTCATTAGTCTTCATCTCTCTCCAGAAAATCCGCAGACACTTAGCACCCTGCTCATCTCGTCTCCAGGACAGTTCCCTTGGCACGGAGACTTTGGGTGTTCGTCAGAATATCATGTTTCCAGTAGGAGGTGCTGTCTCAACCCTCCAAAATGCATCCCCCTTGCTACCGGCCTGGGAAGATGGGGACTCAGGAGAGGACTTGTTATTAGCTGGTGAATGTTTTGAAGGCCAAGACCTGTATCCTCTTTTCATGCCCTAGTGAGGTCAGCGGACCTGAGGATTTATGTACTGTGGAGGGGCCATTACGTCTGGTTCCCTAATTCTGCTGAGGAGAGAACAAGAGCAGAGAGTCTTAATGCCCAGGAGAGGTTTATATTAATAGTTTAGAGCCCCATTTCTCAAAATGAGCTCCATGAAACCCTTACACCAAAACCACATAAGGTCTGTATAAGAAGTATCTACGGTAATTATTAACACCCTCCCCCAATTGCTCCTTATAGAGGGAGAGCAGACAGTATGCTTAGGGACAGAGAAACTGACCATTAGGACTTCCATTAGCCTAGATTTTCAGAAGCTGAGTACCTGAGAAGAACTTAGAACACCTTTGAGACGGGGTGGTAGATCCAGACCATCTGGTTGCAAAGAGGCATCCAGATGCAGGTCACTGGTTCCCCACTCCGCCCCTAGAAAGTACAGCTTATCCAGAGGCACACAACACATGTCCTATAGATCTTTCAAGAAGTCACCTTAGTGGAAACCAAGGGAACTTTAACTCACTGTGTGACTTAGGCCAAGTCCCTCCCTAGCTTGGTGTCCTTCTCTGTACAGGAGAAGTATAGAGCCGATGGGCTTTCCGCTCTCCGCTGACTCTGTCATCCTACCGGTGAATTGCTGATACCTGGCAAATTAGGGGCCAGACTCTGCCCGACTGCCACCTCCCTGCTCAGCACTCAGTCTTGGGCTGCCATTTGGAAAAAGCCAGAGCAGTTTTAACCAGCTCTGCGTCTCCTGCCTCTGTGGCTGGCTGCCCTCATCCTTTCTGCTTGGCTAGAACTTTGCCTACTTAGCCCTAGTCACAAGCAGTGGTGACAGAAGAACAGCTCCCTGTTAATAGCCAGGCACCAGGTTGGGCATTCATTATCTCCTTTTTCCTCAAACCACCCAATGAGATGGATGCTATCATCTTCATTTTGCAGATGAAGAAATAGGCTCAGTGAGGTAAGGACAGTGAGTTTCCTTTGAACAGAAACTTCTCAAACCCCAGTGTTCCAGGCAGACTCACTGGCCTAATCACCCTCTCCGATTTCATGAGTCTTTGCCCATTATTCCCCTGCCTGATAGTCTCCTCCCCCACACACTCTACCTTTGTCCGCCTCTTCCCGCTGGTTCTGCCTGCCCGTGAGATTCCACTGCCCCTTCACCTTCATCAGTCAGCTTCTTTCCTCTGAATCACTCAGCCCTTTCGCTTACCTCCCTGATGACCCTTACCAGATTCCACCAGTACTGTGGCATTTGGGTTCATCTCTGTGCCTGTGAGCACATGGATTGTGGTGACTATATCCTGTGCATTTCCCAACCCGCAATAAGGTCCCACATGTGGGACCCAGGGTCCCCCCTGACCAAGGCCAGGAAGAAGCCCTTCTAGCAAGATGGAGACACTTAGCAGCAACTTCTCAAACTTGTTTAGTCTTCATAGCACCACATGTGAGTTCGTTGTCACAGCAGAAGAGTGCCCTTGAATGCCTTGGATCATTTAAGAGCCTGGAGAGGGTATTTTCTAGATTTTTCATCTTTGTGGTAGTGATGGTGTTTAGTTGCTGAGTCATGTCTGAATCTTTTGCGACCCCATGGACTATAGCCCTCCAGACTCCTCTGTCCATGGGATTTCCAAGGCAAGAATAGTGGAGTGGGTTGCCATTTCCTCCTCCAGGGGATCTTCGAGGCCCAGGGATCAAACCCACATCTTCTGTGTCTCCTGCATTGGCAGGCAGGTTATTCATGCAATAAATCTTTATTGTTGAGAAGATGCTAGAAAATCACTTCCCTACTCTGAATCTCCATGTCTGTCTCCAGCAGATAGACAGTCCCTTCCTAGTTCTGTTGAGAGCGTCAAGTGAGACAACAGATGACGCGCTTGTGTATGTGTAAGATATTCCTTAAAGGAGGAACACAGAGCAGTCCAGGTGTTCACAGGCTGAGTAGGACACAGACAGGTACCCAAATACAGCAGTCCAAGGTAGAATGTGGTGGAGGGGCACCAAAGGTATAAGATGCCAAGTTGGCAGAAGGATGGGAGTTTCTCCAACATGGAATAGGACTGGCAGGAGGAACTCTGAGGCTAAGGTTCTGCAGCCTGTTAGAGTAGCAGGAGCAGACAGCATCAGTGAGGCACAGCACGGCCTTGGTTCTGCTCCAAAAAGATTTTCACCTCCTGTGCCGGGAACATCCTCCATGTCCTTCTGGGGGCATACGGTCAGTCTGTTAACAGGTACAGGGTGCCCCAAGTGCCAGAAAAAAAGAGCCACAGTCTCTCTCCTCTAGGAGTTCATGGTTGTCTGAAAACACTGATTACGAGATGTGCTGCCAGGGAGTGTAGTCACTTACCTGGTGTCAGAACTGGTTCCAGGAGCCCAAGGGCTCTACTGAGCCTTCAACGGCTCCTTTCCTAACAGAAGTGGTGGACTGTGGTCCTAATGCCTGTTCTAGAGGCAGAATGCAGTAAGTGGCTAAGGAAAGCTGAACCTGCTTCTCACAGTGTTCACAGGAGGGTCATTTGCTGAGCAGGTCAGCCTGGTCTCACATGAAAGGCAGTTCTGGATCCAAACCCTGAAAGGTAACTTAGGAAGTTGGGAAGACGACACCCTCAGAGTGCCTGGGGAACCAAAAGAAATGACCCAATGGATATGCCCCAGGCAGGAATAGAACCTTCCTTGCATGAGAGAATAGGCAATAATAACTTGTAAAATTGCTATTTCTGTATGAGAGCCTGCTAATATGCTGGAGGGGTTTTGCATATATTATCTCTAATCCTTAAAACCATTCTTCAAGATAGGCACAACCCCCACTTTACAGATGAAGAAATGAGGTTAGAAGAGGATTTGCCCAAAGCCACAAAGCTAGGCGGTGGGAGAACCAGAAGTCAGACCCACATTTGCTGGTTCCCTTCCAAGTGCACACCTGAGAAGAATTTCGAGAAATATAGAAGCTCCCACCCCAAAGAGACCAACATGGATCCAGAACTGGCAGCAGCCTGCCTGTACAATGTGGGCACCACCCATCACACACCTACTCCCAGATCTTTCTGAATGTGGTCCAGACTCCCCACTGTTCCACTTAACTTGGCCAGTGCTGTGCCCCACCCCCACCTCCTCCATCCCAATTCCACCCAAGCCTAAAGATGATTTCCCCACCCCAATTCCCGCTTTTCTCTAGCAGAAGGCCCGAGACATGTATGCAGAGGAGCGGAAGAGGCAGCAGCTGGAGAGGGACCAGGCTGCAGTGACAGAGCAGCTGCTGCAAGAGGGGCTCCCGGCCAGTGGGGACCCCCAGCTCCGACGGACACGCTTGCACAAACTCTCAGCCAGACGGGAAGAGCGGGTCCAGGGCTTCCTGCAAGCCTTGGAACTCAAGCGGGCTGACTGGCTGGCACATCTGGGCACTGCATCAGCCTGAGTGAGGCTGGCCTCTTGCCACTTTGCCCTACCCTTGGCCTCCAGGGCCCCACTCCCCTTTCTTTTCTTGGTGAAAGGCACCTCCCTCCTGATGATGGATTGTGTTCCTTGGCTTAGCAAGGGAGCCCCAGAGACTAGGTCTGCTGGCCAGATATCTATGGGCGGCCTGGGACAGTGCCGCTGGGGAGAGGGACGGGGGTGAGTCTCAAGTACACTGAGCCTAGCTGTGATCACAGTAGGTTTGGGGAGCAGAGGGCCCCAGCTCTTCCATCTTTGCCACCTCTACCTGTTATTCCTAGGTGCACTTTGTTTTTCCACCAGCACATCCTTCAACACACAAAATTTGGGGGAAGAGGTCTGCCCCAAACCTTAGCCCTTTACCCATCCATCTTGGCCATCACAGTAAATGCGGCCCCACCGTGGACTTGCTGGTAGAGCGCTAATAGGTGGCCAGCGTGATTGAGGCAGAGGGAAGGGAGAGTCAGAAAACTTGCCCATCTGCTGCTCCTCCCCCTGGCCCTCCACCTGGGATTTGCTATTGAATCTCTACCCCCTCCCACCAGCCAGGCTGACTGCTCACTGAAAGGCTCTGCACCCCCAATGGTGCGAGGAAGCCAGGCGGGTGATTACAATCCAATTACCTATTGTCGACTCAGCCCACACAAGCTTTTCTCCTCCTCTTGCAGGGCATGGGGCCAGGCTCAACTCCCCAGTGAGACTGCCCCCTCCATTGCCACAGGGTAACAGAAGAGCTTGTAGGCCCTGGTGAGTCTAATCTAGCACAGGCCGCCTTCCATGGATCACATGAGGAACAAGAGCGCAGAAACCAGCCCTTCTCCCAACTGACTGCCTCCTGCCCTCAGCGCCTCCAACTCTGCTTCCCACCTCCACAGCCTTTGAGGCTTTTCTCAGCTTTTGACCTGGCCCCATAAGCAGGCCGTGAGATGATTTAGTCTCAGCATGGCAGAGTCTCAGCTTGTGAGGGCCAAGGTTGCCCAGCAGGGAGAAGAGGACCAAGGCAAGGGCTGTGTCCTTCCCCTTACCTCTCCCTGGCAGGCCTGGCTGCGGAGCTGCTGAGAGGATTAGTGCCTTTGAAGAGCTGTCTGTGTGAGCAACTCCGTGCTTCTGGCGCCCCACGGCAGCAAGCACCAGTGGGCAATACCAGCCAAACGCTGTGTCGTCCCATTTTGCGTTCTGCAAACTATTTCCCCAGCACCTCTCTCTAGGGGAGAGGTGGGGTCTTGCAAGAAGTGCTAACAGCATATTCTTTAAAACCCCTACTTCCTTGTATTCCAGTCGCCTCCCCTTTCTGTGCCTGGATACCTGGCACAAGAGACCCCTTGGCCATCATCCCTGCTCCCAGAATCAGGCATGAATGCCAGACACTGCGATGGAAAAGCCAATCAGTGCACCCGTTGGCAAATCCCTCACACACACCTGGCACTCCCCACTACCAATCCCTGGCACAGGGTTCCCAGAGAGCAGGTGCTGTACATTTTCCAGCTTTACAATGAGGCTGTTGACAGCCTTAATTAGGGAGGCATGAATTATGCGGCTATAACGGCAGAGCCCTACAATTAAGGCGGGAAAGAGGGGCTGGAGGCAGCAAACGGAATCTGCCCTATGAGCATGGTGGTTGAGTCCTTGTCTCTCGTCTGGGTACCGCAGAGGTGATTAATGGGCAAGTACCTCTGTCCTGAGGTCCTGTGTTCTGGGAGAGGTACACAGGGTGGGGGAGGGGCGAGGAGTGGCTGCCTCGGGAGCCACAGGACGGGGTTGAGGGATCACGGATTCCCCGAACCGGGCTGCAAGTAGTTGATACGAAGTCACTGTGATTGCTTTCCACCGGTATGATTTGTACAAACCAGCTCAACCCTTGCCTCAAGAAACTCGGTGCGACCTATTTAAATGTCCTCCCACCTGTGAGCCAACCGCCCCCCCACACACTTGAGGATATTTATCGTGTTGTGTTCTCTTGGGTGTCAAATAGAATTTTTAAAATTCTCTCTTAGAGGTAAAACTTGTTTGCGAACAGTGCAACAGAAGACCGTGCTTTGCTGCAGCAGTTGTCCACCTCCCTCAGGTCCGCTCGGCCACTTCCAGGATCCCTGGCTTCGGGGGCGGAGCGGGGGGAGCCACTGAAGAGCCCTTTCGCCATCGCAACACCTGTTCCTCTACTTGTTCCCTAATCCCCGGACGCTTTCCTCCACCCTCCTTTTCATCGCGCAAGTGAAAGGAAGCCAGCCTGCCAGTGTGGAAGGAGGGATTTCGCCAGCTGCGTTTGCAGCGCCCAGGCTTGGTGGCCGCGTCGGGTGGGGGCAGCTGAGCTTGATGTCTCCGAAGCGGGTGGAGCTTAGGGGGAGGGGAGTGCTAGTAGGCCGCCTTGGCGGCCACTCTCCATCATCTGGTGGCGGGGTCTGAGGTCCGGGAATACAAGGACCTAAGGAAGCCTAGCCGCCCAACAGGCTTCGGGGGGCCGCGGGGGGGCTTCATTGGTATTTGGGGAGGCGGCTGAGCAACGGGTGCTGAAAGGACAGCTCCTACCTGCCCCACTGCACCCGAAAGGCACCTCTACGCATAAAGTCTCCCCCCTGGATCCCCCACCCCACCTCGAATGGCCCGCCTTCCAGGTGAGGTGCACGAAAGGCTTCCTCTGAGTGGCAGCTTGGAAGGATGCACGTCCGGCTGCGCCAAGCTGGCTTCCCAGCTCTTTCCCCAATTCAGGCGTCAGCCTCGGCCCTGGGAACTGCAGCCCGTGCCTCCAAGCCGCGCGCTTCCTCCCGCCTCCGGCAGAGAAGGGCAGTGCGGCCAGGCCTTAGCAAACCCCTTTTCTGGGGCCCCCAGCGGGAACAGGAAGGAAAGCGGCTGAGATGCGCCCTAAGTGTCGCACGGCTTGGAGAAGTGGGTAGCTCGGTTGCATAAGGTGGAAGGAACTTGGTAGTTTGCAAAAGCCAAGCTCTTGGCGGGAGCCGAAACCCAGAGCCCGCCGACTCACACCACCACCACCACAACGCCCCCCCCCATTTACTGCCTTCGACGCGCGCCTCCCCCACTGCGCCCCCACCCCCTCGGCGCGCCGCCGTCTCGCGCGCCCTACCCCCCATGCCCCCCTCCTCACTCCCTCCAGAGGAGGTGAGTTTAAACCCCGCCCACGTGACCCCAGCTGGGCCAATGAGCGGCGGCGGGAGGTGAAATCCGGTTCTAACCGGTCCGGGGCTCCCAGCGCTATAAAAACTTTATAAACCCCCCGGAGCCCGAGCAGTGTGAAGAAGAGGCGAGAGCGACCCCTGGACCGACTTAAAGCCCGCGCGCCACTGCATCCCCGTGTCCAGCGCCTACGTCCCGCCGCCGCAGCCACCATGCCCAAGAGAAAGGTACGTGGCGCAAGGGCCCCAGGCGCTGGGCCGCTGCCGCCGCCACTACCACCACCGCCAATGCTGCTCCGCCGCTCTCCTCGGCTTCGGGGCGCGCGAGCCGGCGGCGATGCTGGAGCAGGCTCAGCCGCCCGGTGCAGCGTCTCGAGGCGGTGTCAGGCGGCCCCGGGCTACCCTGCGCGGTTCGTCTGCCCGCGGGCGCCAGAGGCCATATTGGAGGAGCGGCGGCCGCGGCGGGAGGAGCCATGTTGGCGGCTGTTTATCCCGCTTCCCCTCCAGTCCCTTCCCCGCGGGCGGGCAATTCAAACCCGAAAGGGCGGGAAGGCGGCGTTCGGGGTTGGCGGGCGGGGGGAACGCGCTGCCGCCAAAAAACCGCCGCCGTGAGGGGGCGGGACCCTCCCTCCTGGGGCGGGGCTTCGGTGATGCCCCGCCTCCTTCGCGCACCGCCCACGGCCCCAGCGCACGAGACTCGGCGCCGGTGCGCGCCGCTGCCGCCCACGGGTTCCCCCCTTCGGCTGCGTGCGCCTGCCGTCTCCCGCCCTCGACGGCTGCCATGGCAACGGCGCTCGGGCCCCGCCCCCGGAGGGGTTTGTTTGCTCCCTGTGCAGCTGTTGCTTCTGCCTGGCGCGGCGGCGCGGGCCGCACTTCGCGCGCCTCCCTCCAGGTTTCCCCGCGCTTCCCCAGGCTGCCTGGGGTCGTACACTCGCCGTCTCTGCGCGATTCGGGCGTGCAGCTTGACACACAAGATCACTCCTAGAGCTTTCTGAGCACTTGGAGGATTTGCAGAGGAGCTGGAGATGCTACAAACTGACGATTTGTGTGTCTTGGAAAAAGTTGTGTACGAGATTCCCATTGATTTCCACCCCCACATCCCCGCGACTTGAGTTTACTGAATCATGAAGAATTGCTTCAGAAGCTGCAGCTTGCTTAGCTTTTGCTTGTTTTTTTTTTTTTTTTTCTTTTTTAGGCTGAAGGGGATGCTAAAGGAGATAAAGCCAAGGTGAAGGACGAAGTAAGTCTTTCTACTTTTTGGAATCTCATAAAGCTTTGGGCTCCTTCAGTGGAGCCCAGACCATATCCTTATTCCTGAATTTACCTCTCAGTAAGCTCTCTGTAGTCCCTGGAGTCCAGAACAACTTAGCTCAAAAACGTACTTTTAAGTAGTCCCAGTGCCCTATTTGTAACTTTTTCTTTTCTTTTTTTTTAAACAGCCACAGAGAAGATCTGCAAGGTTATCTGCTGTAAGTGTGTTTGCCTCTAAGCTTTCCTGTTATTCCCTGAAACTAAAAAGCATTGAAAAACAATTCCCTTTACTTCCCATGAGTTAGTCGGTCTCTTGCCCATTGGAGTTTGCTCGTTCTGAAATTGTGTTGACTGTAGCCAAAGTGGGACACTTCTGGGTGTTGCTTGAGTGGGTTTCTGAAGATAAGTTCTAATACAAAGCCCAATGCAAACTTTACAAAGTTGGAGAAACTTCTATGCCAGTGACACAGATTTGGTTGTGGGTTTGTTTTCTTTGGTCTGTTGTATTAATGTTTTCTGCTTCCCTTCTCTCCCCCAAATAAAAGAAACCTGCTCCTCCAAAGCCAGAGCCCAAGCCTAAAAAGGCCCCTGCAAAGGTGAGCAAGATGGTGAGACAAACATTGCCTATAGGATTTATGCAAGAGTCTGAATAGTTTCTCATGTTGCTGACAGGGAGACCTGCTATAAACAAAATTCTTTTGGTGACACAAAGTTGAGATTTGACAAAGTTACCAGGGCTGGTCCTTAACCAAAACCTCTGTCTTCAGTTTACAGAAAATTCTGCACTTGAGTATTAAAACACCCAAGTGTTTAAACTGTCTTATTCTATTATTTGCACTTGAAAGATTTTGTATATTGAAGACCACAATTTGGTTTTGTCTGTCAATGGGGAAGGCGTTTGTCTTAAATTTGATAAATGTGTCCTGTGCAGAGCTTTATCCTGGTGATGCAAAATGAGAAACAGCTTTTTTTTCTCCCTCCCCTTTTTAGAAGGGAGAGAAGGTACCCAAAGGGAAAAAGGGGAAAGCTGATGCTGGCAAGGATGGGAATAACCCTGCAGAAAATGGAGATGCCAAAACAGACCAGGTACAACTGCTATTTGCACTTTCTTTAAGTTACTGATTCCAAAAGCATCTGCATCACTCCCAAGTGACCCTTTTAATCAAGAGTTTGCTTATGGTCTTCCCCACCCCCACCCCCGTGAATTTAATCTGGATTCCTGAAGTCTCTGCCATCCAGTGTATGGAGCTGTGATATGAGAGCCTTGTCCTTTCCTTAAGTGTCACACTCATGCTACACCATAGTTTACAAGCTGGGAATAACTTCAGATCTTGTTGTACTGATGTTTCCCCTTCCCAATTTTACAGTAAGATCCAGAGGGGAAGTGACTTAGTAAAGTTACCTACTAAGTCATTTTAAAAAGAAGTACTGAGTCTCAGTGTCAAAATACCTAAAAACTGAGCTTGAGTCTGGGAGCAGAGTATTGCTGTAAATGAGATATGAATTAAGATAGTTTCCAAGTCTACTTACTGTATTCTTCTGTCTTTTTCTTTCAGGCACAGAAAGCTGAAGGTGCTGGAGATGCCAAGTGAAGTGTGTGCATTTTTGATAACTGTGTACTTCTGGTGACTGTACAGTTTGAAATACTATTTTTTATCAAGTTTTATAAAAATGCAGAATTTTGTTTTACTTTTTTTTTTTTAAGCTATGTTGTTAGCACACAGAACACTTCATTGTTGTTTTTTGGGGGAAGGGCACGTCACTAACAGAATGTCTCCGAAGCTAAATTGACGTGGGGGAAAAATACCTTTCCCGTCTAGTTTTGAGAGACTTCCTCTTGGTTCCCAGGAAGGAGGGATTCCTTGATGTTGACACACATTAGCCACCTGGGCACAAACGCCTTGTGGTATGGCGAAACTAAAATTTAGTTTTTATGTCCTCTCTCCCCCTCCACCTCAGCATAGACTTGACTCCCCTAAACCCAGAGACCTGTTGTAACCTGAACCCCGCGCCCCTCCAAAATTGATGACCAGTATGTCAGGCAATCTGGACTTCCTAGTGTCACCATTGAGATGGCGTCCTTCAAAAGAGCAGCGGTTCCTTTTTTAGACTGTGGCTCCTCAGAGTGGTACTTCTGCCATTTCCATTTCCATTTCCTGAAAGTCAGGGTCGGCTTGTGAAAAGTTGTTAAACAACATGCTAAATGTGAAATGTCAACCTTCACTCTAAACTTTCCCTGTTCAGAGCATCACATGAAGATTTCATTGGGTTTTATAGTGGCTTTCTGATTTTGGTAGTCCATTGAAAAAGGGAGTTTGAAAGTTGTATACTGTTAACGATTGTCTGCCCGTGTCCTGCCTGAAATACCATGATTGTTTATGAAAAGTATCTTTAATAAAGCTGGATACAGTTTGGCTTGGAATGCTGCTTTTAATCTTTTCCCAGGAGTGGGGGAGCCTGGTTTCTCCCAAGTCTCTTGGGACAGGATGCATTCTGGTGTGAGGTGTAGAGGCTCCATGTACAGTCGATCTTTATGGTCCATCTATAGAACACAGTGCTACATGGAGTTGGGAAAGATCCCAGGAGCAGACTGGTGGTGAGAGGCTGGG